AAATAGAAATGAACAAAATAAACTAAATTTAATTGAACTTAAAAGAAGTTCACATGAAATAAATTTCACTACATATTAATTCAAGTGAACTAAATTATACTGTTCTTTTGTTTCATTGAATTGAATTGAACTACATTATAAAAAATTTGAATCGAAATGCAATCTGAACCGCACTATGCTAAATTGTTATAATACTTTGAATTGAATTGTTTTAATTTGTTGGTCTATCAAGACCAGACAAATTTGCTAGCTTTATTTTAATTTTTGTTTTATTTAAATTTTCTAAAGCAAAATATTGAGAAAAAAATGGGCCAAATATATTCGATAGGTTTCAAACCTAAAAATTAGTAGTTCAACATAGTTCGATTGACTTGTCTAATTTGATCAAATTGGCACAACTTTTCTATGACTTTTTTGAAGCTCAGGTAATTGGAGTAGGGAACTAGTTGATTAAGATAAACCTTTTTAGATACATTTAATATTTAACCTTATATATATGATTATTCTATCAAATTTTTAGAAATTATATTAAGAGCTAGATATACTTTTATTTAATTGTAAATTTGGTAGTTAAGATCAAAATTAAGCTTACTTTGATTTGATTTTATTCTCTTTTATTATAGGAGATTTAGTTGGATGGGATCAATATCAGATTATTCAAATTTGATTTGATTCTCCTTTATTTTCTTCTCCTTATCTTATCTTTACATTTTATTTTGTAATTAGGGTGATTAAGATTTCTTTTGATCATTTTTGTCTATATAATCCCCTCATGTAATTTTGATCAATGTACAAAAATAAAAATAAAAAATTCTTCTCTAAGTTACATGGTATTAGAGCTTTGACTTTGATCTTGTGTTTTCCTACCATGATTTTTGCAAATTCTATGTGTTGAAGTTGCATCATCATCGTTTGTAGCCTCAAATGGAGAAAATATGAGGTAAGAGGGTAACTCTGAATCACTTCTTTTCACTAAGGAACAATTGGCGCACTTGTTTTCATCTAGAATGTCAATTAAGCCATCCTTTTCTCTAGCCCAAAAAGGTATTTCCTTTTTTCTAATGCCTTTGTTAGAACCAAACAAAATTCTAAAGCTCCATGGATCATTGATTGTGGAGCTATTGACTACATGACAAATTGTTCTCCACATGTAGAGAAAAAAAGTGTGTGTTTATTGGTTATGCTCTCAACCAAAAATGATATTATTCGGACCGTAAGTTCATTGTTATCGTTAGAGTCATTGCACCCGAGGTATTATCCGCTTTGGAATTCGTTGGACTGTCACGGTTTTGTCCTTGAAAAGACGACTCGATGCGTTAAGGAGAAAGGGTGTTTATAAATTACTCTTAGCCTCGACTCCTAAGCGATGTGAGACTTTTTAGGCTGTTAGAACAAGCCCCTCAATCGAGTCTAAGGGGGCAAGAGTGACCTAGGTCATCCTTCTAGCACCAACTTTTCGATCGTAAATTCGTTGTCATCGTTAGAGTCACCACATTCGAGGTATTGTCCGCTTTAGTGTTCGTTGGATCGTCACAGTTGTGTCCTTGAAAATCTGCCTCGGTGGTTAAGGAGGAAGAGTATTTATAAAATAGCCTTAGTCTCGACTCCTAAGCTATGTGAGACTTTTTAGGCTATCAGAACAAGCCCCCCAATCAATGCTAAGGGACAAGAGTGGCCTAGGCCCTCCTTCAAGCGCCAATGTTCTTATCGTAAGGTCGTTGTCTTCATTAGGGTCATTATATCCGAGGTATTGTCCGCTTTGGCGCTTATTGGGCCATCACGATTTTGCCATTTAAAAGGTGTCTCGGTGGGTTAAGGAGGGAGGATATTTATAAACTACCCTTAGCCTCGACTCTTAAGCGATATGAGACTTTTTAGGCATATTAGAACAAGTCACCCATTCGAGTCTAACGGGCAAGAGTGGCATAGGCCCTCCTTCTATTGTCAATGTTTCGACCATAAGTTCGTTGTCATTGTTAGAATCATCGCATCCAAGGTATTATCTGTTTTGGTATTCGTTAGACCATCACATTTTTGTTCTTGAAAAGGTGCCTCGGTGGGTTAAGGAGGAAGGGTGTTTATAAACTACCCTTAGCCTCGACTCCTAAGCAATGTGAGACTTTTTAGGCTGTGAGAACATTTTCCTACCGTAATTTCACTGCCATCATTAGGGTCACCGTATTCAAGGTATTTTCTGCTTTAGCGCTCATTGGGTTGTTACGGTTTTATCATTTAAAAGGCGTCTCGGTGGGTTAAGGAGGGAGGATATTTATAAACTACCCTTAGCATCAACTCTTAAGCGATGTGGAACTTTTTAGGCATATTGGAACAAGCCTCCTAGTCGATACTAAGGGGAGAGAGTGGCCTAGGCCCTCATTTTAGCGCCAATGTTCCTACCGTAAGTCCGTTGTCATCATTAGAGTCACCGTATCTGAGGTATTGTCCGCTTTGGCGCTTGTTGGACCGTCACAGTTTTTTATTTTAAAAGGCACCTTGGTGGATTAAGGAGGGAGGATGTTTATAAACTACTCTTAGCCTCGACTTCTGAACGATGTGAGACTTTTTAGGCTGTCAGAACAAATACAAATACTTTGGTCTTGTTTCCAAGAAAGCCTTTGTTTCCATGGATGTTACTTTTATTTTAAAGACTTTTTTTTTTCCAAAATCATCTTCACATGGGAGAAAAAAGGAAGATGGTGTCCAATACATAATAAAGGAAGTTTAGAGGCTGAAAACAAGGGTGAACCAAGTCAGCATAATAAATACAACATTTTAGAAACTATTTCAAAAATCAAAATTCCATATTTACAAGTTCTACCAAGTTTTGATATGATTGAAATTGAACAAAATGAGACAGTTGCAATGGGTAATAAAGGGGTAGAATCCTTTGATCTTGTCTATTCTAGAAAGAAAAAATCTCAAAGAATAAAGCCAAATGACCCTCAAGATTGCCATGAATCTAATGAACCATCATGTAACAATTTTTCTAATTTTATCCAACTTGTTCAAACTATAGTTGAATTTGTCCTTGATGATTCTGACCTTTCTATTTTTATTAGAAAGGGTATTAGATCGTGCACAAAACATCATATATCAAATTTTGTCTCTTATGAAAACTTATCCCTCTTGTTTCAGGCTTTTACTTCACAACTAAGAAAAATAGAAATTTCAAAAGATATACAAGCTACTTGAGGGGCTCTTATGTGGAAAGAAGTTGTCTGGGAGGAGATGAAAGCCATAGGGAAGAATCAAACTTGGAAAAAAATGGACTTGCCTAGAGGAATGACAAATGTTGGGTGTAAATAGGTGTTTACCATCAAGTATAAGGAAAATGGATCTATTGAGAGATACAAAGCCCTGCCACGTTAATTATTAAAGGCTTTACTCAAACATATGGTGTTGATTACTCATAAAATTTTCCTCTTGTGCAAAGTTAAACACCATCAGAGTTCTTTTGGCATTAGTTGCAAAATTAGATTAGCCATTGCAACAACTAAATGTAAAGAATGCCTTTTTAAATGGAGATTTAGAGGAAGAAGTTTATATGAATATGCCTCCGAGTTTTGAATCACATTTTAATAAATAAAAAAAAAGTATGTAGGCTTCAAAAGTCTCTCTATGGATTGAAACAATCACCTAGATCTTAGTTTGAGAAATTTGCGTAGTTTATTAAGAAGCAAAGATTTAATTAGTGCCAAAGTGACCATGTTTGTAAAACATTCTTCTACATGATTGTTTAAATTGTTTATGTGGATGATATTGTGATTATTAGAGATGATTTTAATGAAATAAATAAGTTGAAAGCTTTTCTTGCAACTGAGTTTGATATTAAAGACCTTGGATCCTTAAAATATTTTTTGGGAATGGAGGTAACACGATCAAAGAAAGGAATTGTTATGACACAAAGAAAGTATATTTTAGATTTTCTTAAAACAATTGGGTTGATGGGTTGTAGGCTAGTTGAAACTCCTATAGATCCTAATAAAAAAACTTGGAAGTGAAGAGAACGGTGATCCAATAAACACAACTTGGTACTAAAGATCAGTGAGAAGATTGAATTACCTATCTTATATCCGACTAGACATAGCCTTTGTAGTAAGTTTACTAAGTCAATTCGTGCACTCACCACGTGAAGAACACCTTCCGACAATTTATAGGATCTTGAGGTATTTAAAATGTGCTCTAGGAAAAAGTCTATTTTTTTAAGAAAAATGGGCAGTAAGAAATAAAAAGTGTTCGCTCATGCGGACTAGGCTAATCCATTATTGATTGAAAGTCAACACCTAGCTATTGTACATTTGTTTGGGGAAATTTGATTACTTAAAGAAGCAAAAAACAGAATGTTGTGGCTATAAGTAGTGCAAAGGCTGAATATGGGACAATGGCACAAGGGGTTTGTGAAATTTTATGACTTAAAAGAATTCTAGAAGAGTTGCAACTAATGACTCAACCAATGAATTTGTGTGACAACAAGACTGCAATTAATATTTCCCAAAATCCAGTTCAATATGATTGAACCGAGCATGTAGAAATTGACAAACATTTTATAAAAGAGAAGGTGGATGCAGGCCAAACTTGAATACCATTTGTTCCTTCTTCACAGCATGTGGCAGACATTCTTACAAAAGGACTGTTTTAGACTTAATTTTGAATTCTTTTCAGCAAGTTGAACTTGTTGTCTACCTACGCACCAACTTGAGAGGGGTGTTGAGAGCTAAATATACTTTTATTTAATTGTAAATTTGGATAGTTAAGATCAAAATCAGGTTGACTCTGACTTGATTTTATTCTCTTATTATAGGAGATTTAGTTAGATGGGATCAATATCAACTTATTCAAATCTGATTTGGTTTTCTTTTATTTTCTTCTCCTTATTTTATCTTTACATTTATTTTGTAATCATAGTGATTTGGATTTTTTCTAATAATCTCTATCTATATAATCCCCTAATGCAACATTCCTATTTAATTTAGATATTAATCGATGTACAGATTATAGTATAGTTAACTTACTCTTTTCAAATAATGCTTGCCGACTTTTGAGAAGGAAAAAGGTATAAATAAGGCAGAAACAATGGGAGGGGAAGCAGATATACAAAGAATAGTTTACCCCACACTACCAATAGTCTCTACATGAGCAAAACCCATCCTTGAAATGATGAAATCGATATCCATCTCTCATGATAAGTTCCCTTGAGGTGACCAAAGACAACAACTTTATTACCAAGTGACAATCATTGCAGACACGGAGATTCTTCATTACATGTATAGGCATCCAAGATGGCAAACTAAGGAACCCAAAAGCAAAAGCAAGCTTTTCACTATGGTATTTCTGACTCCTATGAGCAGAAGAGGCAACACTAACATATCTTCCTGTCTCTTCTATCTTCTTCATCATTTCCTCTAGTTTCATATAAATCTCCTTTATCCGCGGATGACTGGTGTCCTCTACAGTGAACACATGTATCCTGTTATTAACCTCTATCCAGCTACAACCTGGACTCTTTCGAATTCCTTTCGCTTTCATCAGCATTCTCATATCAGCAACATTTTCTAACTCCCCAGACTCCGCATATATGTTTGCTAAAAGGACATAACCTCCAGAATCTTCAACATTTAATTCCATCAACTTCTTCGCAGCAGTTTCTGCTAGTCTTGAATCATGATGGATTCGGCACGCTCCTAGTAAGGCACTCCAAACAGTAGCATTTGGCTTAAAAGGCATCCCATCTATTAAATTCTTGGCCTGATCTAGTAACCCTGCTCGACCAAGCAAATCTACCATACAAGCAAAATGCTCATTTGTTGGATAAATGCCATACACTTGAGTCATGGAATCGAAGTAATGTTTCCCTTCAGCTACAAGCCCCATGTGGCTGCACCCAGATAAAACAGCAACATAGCTTATATGATCAGGTTTGCACTCTGTCCTCAACATATCCTCAAATGTTTCGATTACTTTCTTACCTAAACCATTTTGAGCAAATGCTGCCATAATGGCATTCCAGGAAATTAGGTTTTTCACATGTATTGAGTCAAAAACCTTATGTGCTTCTTTGATTTGTCCACATCTGGAATACATGGTGACAATACTGTTTGCAACTGAAAGATCCGAACTGAACCCAAACTTAATGGCATGAGATACAACTTGTGTCCCAAGCTTTATAATAGCCAAGTCAGCGCAGGCCCGGATTGAAGTTGCAAAAGTGATCCAATCTGGTCTGACTTCTTTGCTTCTCATCAAAACATACAATTTCATGCCTTCTTCCGAGAATCCATGCTGAATATATGAGCTTAACATGGAGTTCCAAGTTACGATATTACGCTCAGGCATCATATCAAAACATTCACGGGCCCTGTCAATGTCTCCATTCTGAGAGAATGCAGTGATCATGGCCGTCCATGATATGGTATCTCTAAGTGGCATTAATCTAAATGCAAGGCTAGCTTTCTCAGTATCACCACACTTTGCATACATTGTAATGATTGCATTCCCTACAGGAACAGAGGAATCCATCCCACTTTTGATTGCATATCCATGAAGTAGTTCTCCAGTGGCAGCATAATTTTGACTAGAACAAACACCAAGAACTGTGGCAAGAGTGAAATCATCCAACACCACGGAAGCCTGTCTCATTTGGTAAAATAGTGCCAGAGCATCTTCACCGAGTCCAAACTGTGCCACCCCAGCAATCAAACAAGTCCAAGAAACTTGATTACGTTCCCCTAAACTGTCAAACACACGCCTCGCCAGTCCTAAGCATCCGCATTTGGCATACATATCTATGAGACCACTTCCCAAAAACGCATCCAGTCTATGTTCCATGCGAAGAATCCGAGCATGCAAATGAGCACCCCATTCCAGATCAGAAATGCTGGCACATGCACTGAGCACACTACCATAAGTCATGAAATTGGGCCTTAACCCCAGATTGCACATCTCCACAAACATACCAAGACAGTGGACCCCAAGGCCGTGTTGAGAGAACACCGAGATCAGCGTGTTCCAAGAAACATGGTCACGTTCAGGCATTCGGGTGAACACATGAAGAGCTTCGTAGGGTCCATATAATTGAGAAAACCCATAAATCATACTGTTCCAACAGAACAGACTGGGGCTTTCAATGTTGTGAAAAACAGCCTCAGCCAACCCAATTGCTCTACACTTAATATACATATCAACAAGGGAGTTCTGAATGCAGGTTTGGGTTCCAAAATACAACTTGATGACATGGGCATGCAACTGAAGAGCCAAACAAGTGGAGGCAAGGCAGCCACAAGCCTTCATTGTACAAGTATAGTTGTAGGGGTCATATTTTTGAATTAGATTATTAGAGTTCCGAAGCATTGACATAAAAGTTTTGATGCTATGAACTAGGAGGCCGTTCTGACAGTAGCCGGATATCATGGTGGTCCAAGAAACAGAGTCTCTCACTCTCAGCGGCATTTCATCAAACAATTTCTCTGCTTCCCTCATTCGACCGGAATCGACTAAGGCATGTAGCATTGTGTTCCAAGTAAAGACATTAGCATGATTGGCTTCGCGGAAAACACAGAAAGCATCGTCCACCAAGCCGCAGTTGGAGTACATATGTAGTAGATTGTTGAGTAAGAAAAGGGAAGCGTCCAAACCAGAGAGTATGAGTTGGCCATGAAGTTTGCGAGCCATGGGTGGCGACCCACAAAGCTTGAAAGCTTCGTAAAACTTCTGAGATAGTTGCATGTAAGACATTTGGTATAATTGCGTGTGAAAAACGGGTTAAAAATGTCTCGTTATAGTTAAACTAAGAAAATAAGGATTCTATCACTATTTTGTTTTTGTTTTTTTGCAATATAGTACTATATAAGATAGGATTCTATCACTTAGGAGTGGTAAAATGGGTCAACTCAGGCCGCTAATGAAATATGGACCGAGAATGTTCGCCCTGTCTAAGGGCAAATAAGCGAGTCTGACGGATCAGTCTGTATATCATTACAAAAAATTACAAAAAAAAAAGGTAAAACACCTAATTTGGTCTCTTATAATAATTAATAGTTTCAATTTCGTCCTTCTATAATTTTTTGTTTCAATTTGGTCCCCAATAATTTAAAAAATGTCAATGTGGGACTTTCTGTCTAAATTTCACAAACAGTGTTAAATATAGATGACGTGGATGTCACGTAAATACACAGGTGGCAAGGTCTAATAGTCCTTCTTTAATGCAGCTAGAACGGATCATTCTGATCTCACTCGTTGTGTATTAATTTTGTATCTGAAACGGATCGTTCCAGGTGCAAATGTAACACACAACGAGTGCATCAAAACGGGTCGTTCTGATTTCAGAACGAGTCATTCCAGGACGCCAACCAGGATTTATATTTAAATTTAAATTTAAGTGTTACATTAAAGGAGCATTGACTAATATTTAAATTTAAGTGCTAGATTTCAACAAAATGCAGTAATGTGGTTCAAAGATTGAAAACAAAAATTTATAACATAACATAAATTCAAATATTAAAATATGCACCATAGTTGATCTTCTTATCCCTATTTTTCATCATTGCCCATATAAATAATAAATTAGTTAGACGTAATTTACTGTCTGAGTCGCCACGACCTAAAACAATAGATGCAATAAATTTATACATAATGTCGTAACCGGGTTTACGACTGGATGACGCTAACATTTTGTTTCAATGGAGCCGCCACCAATATTTTATTTTAAGGGAAAAACATTGGAAAACCCTTTAACAGATTATCTTTAAAATCAAAGTTGGGTTTGGGAGTCGATTACGTGTAGGAAAGGTATTAGCACCCTACAATGCCTGTAAAACAGTACCTTTAATTGCGCAAAATTATATAAATTTATAAATATTTAATTTACTCCTTAGAAATGTGTATATATATATATTTTTTTTTTTAAATGTGAGATGCCTTTTTAAAAATATTTTTATTAGAAAATTATAGGGATTTGGGTTAGCAAATGGCTAATCAATAAACCCTTCCAATAACATGAAAGATAGAATTGCTATTCAATCAATGTTATTGGTTTTTATTTGTTGATACTAAATTATGCTTAAAGCTTAGGACAATGAATAATTATTCTATTAGTTTTTATGATTTACTTGATATTAAAGGGTAGAAGTGCTACTCAATTAATATCATTAACCATAAAAATAGGTATACATGAATATTTTTATCTAAAGAAGTAGATTTTGCATAAGGATTCAGGTTAGCAAATGGCTAATCAATAAGTTCCTCCAATAACGTTAAAAATAGAAGTGCTACTTAATTAACGTTATTGGTTGCAACATCTTTATTCTTTTAAAAAAGAAATTTTGTACAGGAGAGTTTAAGCTAGCAAATGACTAGTTATTAAAACCCTTGGACCAAATAATGTTATAGATAAAAATGTTATTCAGTTAATATTATTATTTGTTGTATAATAAATATTTTTATAAATAATAATCTTAAAGGCAACAAATCATATTCACTATGTACAAACAATAAACAAAAATAAATAAATAAACCAAACAAAATAATAATAATAATAAAGAAAATAAATAAATAAAGAAATAAAAGAAAGAAAAGTTAAGAGAAGAAACGATACCAAATGAGTTGAATTTTCGAATATGATTATCAAGAAGGTGCTTTTTGGCTACCTTTCACACTACAGAGATGTCTCACAGATCTTAAGAAATACAAAAGAGAGGAGGGAGAGAGAGAGGAAAAGATCAAGCTCTGAGGAGTACTGGACGAAATTTTTTCGCCCTGAAAACTGTGCCCTAGACGTCTATTTATAGACGTCAGACCTGACCAGAACGGCCCGTTCTAAAATCGGAACGGTCCGTTCTGGATATGGACGTTATGAGTTAATTTAGAACCTGGAACGGCCCGTTCTAAATTTGGAACGGCCCGTTCTAAAATTGAAACAGCCCGTTCTAAATTCAGAACGCCCTGTTCCAGACTAGGATTTTTGGTCTTTTTCTTTGACTTGGAATGACTGGTTCCCATTTTGGAACGGCCCGTTCCCATTTTGGAACAACCCGTTCTCAATTAAATCTATTGTTCTTTTTTGTAGCTTGGAACGGTTCGTTCCGGATTTGGAACGGGCCGTTCTGGGCTACCCAATTTTATTTTTTTTTTGGCTTCAAACTTTTTTTGTTGTCATAGTGGGGATCTCGAGGCACTTTTTGGCTACCTTTTCACACTTCAATGTGCCTCACAACTCTCAAGAAATACAAAAGGAGGGAGAGAGAAAAAATTTTAAGCTTAATAGGATTTCAGGAGGCAATTTTTCAGTCTCTAGAGCAATGTCCAACTTCTATACTTATAAACATCAGATCTGACCAGAATGACCTATTTTAGTCTCGGAATGCCTCATTTTGGATCAGTTTGTTAAGGCTAAAATTTGAATCTGGAATGACCTGTTCTGAAATTGGAACAACCCGTTCTGGATTTGAATTTTGCTCATAACAACCTGGATCAAAACAGCCTGTTCTAGACTGGGAATGGCCCATCTTGACCTAGGGTTTCTAGGCCATTTTAAAAGTTTGGAACAGCCCGTTCCAGGTTGGAAACGACCCATTTCGGGCTCGTAATTTACCCTTTTTAGGCTTTAGGCCTTATATTTGTCTGTTTTGATGTCATTTTCGGGCTTTCGGGAACTCCTTTTCTTCATACTAAAAGTCCATTTCCTTGTTTACATGATTTTCCTTTTTAATTATTGCAATATTTATGATAAAAAGTAGAAGAATACGAAAACTATTAATAGGAATATCTCTTGAGCGAGTTTTTATAAATACTTCAAATGTGGGGATCTCAAGGCGCTTTTTGGTTGCCTTTTCACACTACAATGTGCCTCACAACTCTCAAGAAATACAAAAGGAGGGAGAGAGAAAAAATTTTAAGCTTAATAGGATTTCAGGAGGCAATTTTTCAGTCTCTAGAGCAATGTCCAACTTCTATACTTATAAACATCAGATCTGACCAGAATGACCTATTTTAGTCTCGGAATGCCTCATTTTGGATCAGTTTGTTAAGGCTAAAATTTGAATCTGGAATGACCTGTTCTGAAATTGGAACAACCCGTTCTTCCTTTCCCTTTTTGCTTTTGCTTTTTACTTTTTTTTGGTAATTCCTCATCGTGACACACAGCCAAGGATCATGGATGAGTGAGGCCTTTGGATACTTTTGTCTTGAGTGATAGTTGGCTATTTCCTGTGGGTTATCCTTAAGCTGTTATAAGTACTTATGAGTTGAAACAACGTTATCCTGTTGGTTGCGCTTTGTGACATTCATCAAGAAATTATCAAGCATACTATGGCTTTTAAAACTCAAAAATAATTTGTAATGCCTTGAATTTTCCTTTTTTAGATGTAACATGCATTTCCTTTCAGTATATTATCATAAAATGCAAAAAGAATTGGCAACAAAGAGGTAGGATAATCTTATTTAAGAGAGTAAGAATGTGTTTACAAAGGTAGTCATTATATGACAAGAATGGCAAATATTTACAACGGTAGCAATGGGAGGTAGTTGTTATGTGAGTGACACTTTCTAGATGAACAATGCTAGTACTGCAATTCAATAATCTTGATTGCTCGGCAATAAACTTTAGAGGATAATTCAATGCATTTGCCCCAGTTTTCAGCTCTGCCATGGCTTTCCCCCATTGATACCTCAAAAATTGGCATGATACTTATTTGTTTGATTGCTTTTTCGGGTTTTCAACCTAGCATGTCGCTCTGAATTTGCTTAGATCGCCTTTTCAGGTTTTCAATCTAACCAGCTCTTTTTTTTTAACCTAATTTTTGCATAGATTAATCTTTTGAGTTTTTAACCTAGTGGGTTGCTTTAACTTTTGCCTAGATCGCCCTTTCGGGTTTTCAATATAGCGAGCCTCCCCTTTTTTTTGTTGTTGACCCTAATTTTTGCCTAGATTGCTCTTTCAAGTTTTTAATCTAGCGGGTCGCTCTAACTTTTGCCTAGATTGCCCTTTTAGGTTTTCAATCTAGCGAGCTTTTTTTTTTTTTTGTATAGTTGGCCATGAAAAATTGCATTCAACCTTTCTCCTCAATGAAATTTAGTTGATCCAAACGGGTTTGGACCCATTCTGCTTCTTCTAATTTGGCTTCTGTCAATACTCTCAAAAATGGAATTTCAACCGCGATTGGAAGGACTGCTTCCATTCCATAAACTGAGGAAAATGGGGTTGCCCCAGTTGATGATCCTCTTGATATTCTTGTTTGCTGCTCATGTAAAGCAAATGGAAGCATCTCATCCCAATCTTTGTATGTCACCACCATTTTCTGAATGATCTTCTTGATGTTCTTGTTTGCTACTTCAACTGCCCTGTTCATCTTTGGGCGGTATGGGGAAGAGTTATGGTGCTGAATTTTGAAGTCAACACATAATTCTGTCATCATCTTGTTATTCAAGTTGGTTCTATTATCAGTGATGATTCTGCTTGGCATACCGTAACGATAAATAAATTCCCTTTTGATGAACTTTGCAACCACATTTCGAGTCACCTAGGCATATGAAGCAGCTTCAACCAACCCATTTGGTGAAATAGTCAATAGCCACCAAAATGAAGCGATGTCTATTTGACGCTTTCGGCTCAATAGGGCCAATAACATCCATTCCCCACATTGAAAATGACCAAGGTGGCGAGAAAACATTAAGAAAAGTTGGTAAAGCATTGATGTTATCAGCATACATCTAGTATTTAAAGCAATCATTTTCCATTTCCTCAAAAGTCTGATTAACTGCACAATCAAAATTATTTGATGCAACACTAGCATTATCACTTTCAAGCGCATTTTTTCGCATTCTTTAAAGTTAAGATAAGATTGATAAAAAGATTAAGGAGAAAGGAAGAGGTAAGAGGTGAAAGATGAGTGAATGCA